GGAGGCAGAGGTTGCAGTGAGCCGAGATCGCGCCACTGCACTCCAGCCTGGTGCCTGGCAACAGACCTAGACTGTCTCAAAAAAAAAAAAAAAAAAAAAAAAGATTCTATTTATTCTATTTTCTCTTTGCCTGATGCTTTAGCTCAGAAGCATGTTCCCCTTCCATATTTCTCCAACTAGGGTGAATTCATCCTTTAAAGCAATCTGGCATGGTGTCCTGTAGTGAAGCAGAAGATCATAACAGAAGTGAACTCTCTACAGGTGGAAGTTGGAGAGAGGGAGTTTTTGGCTTTCTACATGAAAAAACTCTCCAGATAGAAACAGATTCTGCCGATAAGTGAAATAAATTGCTTTGTGGGGTAATGAGTGACTTATTCAGGTAGATGTTACATAACTGCTAATTAAGTTTGCCTAGATTGAATGTAAGCAAATAATTGAAAGTTTATCTTGGTCAGGTGTCAGCAAACTATTGCCCATGAACCAAATCCTACCCACTCCCTGTTTGTGTTTTTTTTGAACATAATATATGGAGCTGAAATTCATATTTACAAAATTAAACATTTTAAAAATGAATAATTCAGTATCATTTATTTAGTACATTCACAAAGTTGTGCAATCACCAGCTCTATCTAGTTCCAAAACCCCTCCCTGTTTTATAAAGTAAAACAGGGATAAATAAAATTTATAAAATAAAGGTTTCTGGGATAAGAGCCTTGTTTACTCACTTACATACTGTCTCTGGTTGCTTTAATGCTACAATGGCAGAGCTGGGTAGCTGCATGTGTATTGCCTCTATATAATATGGGCAGTGGGCATGTCACATGTTTTCCATCTGGAAACCTGTAAAAAATAGCAGTCTTTTCCAGTTGCTCAGTTGTTATCAATATGTGGAAGCAGGAATCAGAATTTCATAAATTGACAAGATACTGGAGCTTAAGGACTTTAGGATTCAGCCAAACTAATTGTGTCTTTTACCTAGTACAGGTTAGGGGTCCATAGAGGGCAATTCTTTGCCCAAGGTCATGGGGTATGTCACTGGTAGAGGGGCAGCAGGATTCAAATCTCTTGATTCCTACTCCACCTCTTTCTGTCACATTACTCAGGAATGAATCAGGCTTCTGACACAGGAGGCAGCTGGATTCTGTCACCTTGGAGCTCTTGTGTCACTGACCTACTTGATGATTTATCCTCTGACTGGAGTCAGAGAGCTTTTGTTCCTCATGATGAGTTTGCCCTGAGACAAATGAAAATTACTCTTAATGTCTTATCATGGTAAGAGGGACTGGAGATAGTCTGATTGCCAGAACCTCAGGGTTACAAAACAATTATGAGCTTTGACTCTCCTGGAGGGAGGCTCAGAAGGAAATGGATGTTCTTAGGATCACATGGCAGTGAAACCAAATGGAACACAAGTCTTCTGGCTCCAGGTTGAAAATACCTTCCCTTCCCTCCCTGAGACAAACTTTTAAAGGAAAAGAGGCAAACAAACCTGGGTTGTGCCTGACTTCTACATTTATTAGTTTTGAAGCTGAGTTATTCTAGCCTCAATGAGCATCAGATTTCTGATCTGAAGAATGGGGATAATCCCTTTTTAGGGACTTGAGATGGAGATAACGTATATAATGAGCTAGTAATGATCAGTAAATATTATATTTCCTTCCCTTCTAAAACTTCTTCGGCATACATTTTTAAGATTTTTTTCATTGTGGTGTAATTTATATATAGTGACACACAGATCTTGAGCATATATTTGATCAATTTTGAAACTACATCTACCTATCCATGAAATCCATACTTCTATCAAGGTAAAGAACATGTCCATCACCCCAAGAAGTTCCCTCATAATCTTTTTCTTCCTCTCCCCCACCCCCAGAGATGGAGTCTTTCTCTGTTGCCCAGGCTGGAGTGCAGTGGTGCAAGTCTCTGGGTTTAAGCAATTCCCCTGCCTCAGCCTTCCAAGCAGCTAGGATTGCAGGTGCCACCATGCCCAGCTAATTTTTGTATTTTTAGTAGATACAGGGTTTTTACCATGTTGGCCAGGCCGGTCTCCAACTGGCTGGTCTCGAACTCTTGACCTTGTGATCTGCCTGCCTCAGCCTCCCAAAGTGCTGGGATTACAGGCATGAGCCACTGCACCTGGCCATCTTTCACATTTTCCCCAAGAAGTAACCACCAACCTCCTTTCTACTCCCATAGATCAGTTTTGCCTTTCTAGTACTACATATAAATGAAATATACAGTACGTATTCTTTTGTCTCTGACTTCATTTAGCATAATGTTTTATCCATTGTGTTACATCAGTACTTCATTTCTTCAGCATACTTTCAGTTTTGAATATCCTAGTTGGGGTTAAATTATACCTAGCACTGCCATGGAATCTCAAGGGATAGGCAGGAGAGAAGAAGGAATATCAGTGGATTGAGAATCAGAATAGATGTGTTCTAATACTGGCTCTATCAATACATAACCTTGGAGATAAACTATTTTGGTCTTCATTTTACAAATGTGTTAACTGGCCCAGGGAGGGAAAGAGACTTGTCTAAGGTCACCTAGTTAGCCAGTGGCAGAGCCAAGGATAGTTTAAGGTTACTCAATTCCTGGTTGAGTGGCTGAATGCACATTACTGAGATTTTTAAAAAAGGATTTTTATGTAGATCACTCATTTTCTTTCTTTCTTTTTTTTTGAAACAGAGTTTCACTCTTGTCACCCAGGCTGGAGTGCAATGGCGCAATCTAAGCTCACTGCAACCTCTACCTCCCAGGTTCAATCAATTCTCCTGCCTCAGCCTCCCAAGTAGCTGGAATTACAAGCAACTGCCACCCAGCTAATTTTTGTATTTTTAGTAGAGGCAGGGTTTCACCATGTTGACCAGGCTGATCTCGAACTCCTGACCTCAGGTGATCCACCTGCCTCGGCCTCCCAAAGTGCTGGGATTATAGGCCCGAGCCACCGTGTCTGGCCAGATCACTAAAATGGGTAAAATTGGCAGTTTTTCTAGTTGAAGCCAGCAGATTCCTCAGCTTCATGTTTTTGTTCCTTTCCTTTGGCTGAGGATGACTTGTTTCTCCACCATGGAAGCCTGGAAATAGCCAGCTATGGATTCTAAAAAGGTATGTTTTAGACAAGGAGAAACAAATGAAGTCTAGGTATTTTGGCCGCTC